TTGTTTGAAAAAACAAATATACGCGATTTAAATCCGGAAAAATAGTTTCATTTCCTATACTTTTAAAAGTGTTATTCTGATCGAGTTCTTAGGTTTTCGCGATTTTTACACATAGGAAATGAAACTGTTTTTCCGGAGATTAGGATTCCTAAGTGTTATTCTGAGTCAATAAATTATTCATTTACTTTCCCATTATTAAGGTACAAATTTGTGTTATGCAAATATGGGTTCCTTGCGCGCAGTGAGGCGTCAGACACCGACCACACTGTGATCCGAGCGCACTAATGCGATTGTCGCCATGCGTTGTAATCGAAAATTAGGACGCGACGCGTCGATTTTGCGCCAGTGTGAGTTGAGCCTAAGAGCTAGACTATTTCTTGTAATATGAACTTTCTTCCTATTTCTTTGTCTCAATTTGTTAACTCCAAGTTTATATATATTTATTATCTTCTGTTAATGCTTCTTCTAATCTTTTTTAATAGTCTATACATGGCTTTGGTTGAATCCGTATAACAGTATTAAACTAATCACTTGGGAAAAAATATATAATATATACAGTGTGAAAACACGATTCTTAAAAACTTTCACAATGGAAAAAAAAACACAAACTTAACTCGAAATTTTACAACGAAACCGCTGTATTCAATAGGTGTTTTACATACAACAATGTTTTTTTTATAGCAATTGAATTAAATACAACACGTATACTAAACGATATACATTTTTGAAATGGATTTAATTTCATTTGAAAAAAAAGGAATATAAGCTAGTGCCATGAAAAATGAACCGCATTAATACGGGAAAAATTTATAATTTAATTTTAATTAAAATATAAAAAGATTTAATATCAACTCTCAACAGCCACGACTATCAACGAAAAACGTTAGTTCCAACCATTGACTTACAAATAAATGGACGACGGGTCTAATACAAAAACCACGAAAAAAATGTCCCAAGTCAACCTATTTAAACGTAGTGACATGTCAAGGAATATGAAAAAGCTAAAACGTTGAATTTCAATTGTAATGTCATCGCAGTACTTTCTAATTTTGATTGCTTCGCTGTCAGTCGAACAAACGAAGACTAAAGCGTGAATGACGCTCTGTATACGATTTTAACGCCCTATTAGTTTTTTTAGCGCGGACCCGACGTCCATATAATTGTAAGTCAATGGTTCCAACGTATAAAACGGTAAATTCAATCAACCAGATTTTGTTCATCCAATTCAATGTAACATACACGTAATAATTTAAATTTATTTAGAAATGGAACACAGAATTAAGTTCGTTACAAGATGGACAATGGAATAGAACGGATGTTGAATACAAGCATAATATAAACGATTACCAAAAAGGGGTTTCAAAAAAGAATTTGGTTACGTGAAAAACGTGTAAGCTATGCTCAATTATAAGTTATAAATAAAATAACTTTTCTCAAACATCTCGGAAAGTTTGTCATTTATGAACCTTACGACTTCTTCCCGGCCAAGGCCTACAAAGTTAGTATGAAAATCTATTACTGTCCGCTACTCTAAACTTTTAAATCTATCGAACGATGAACTATATTATAAACAGGCAAAATAAAAATTAACACAGCGAACTGCCAAGTGTTCGTAATTGCGAGAATTAAAAATATCTGTGTCGCTTACTTTTTTAAAAAAAGGCGGTAAAATAACTCTCTCACAGTCTTTTTTGCATTTTCGTTGCTAAAACGAGTTCTAGTGAGAAAAGCGGTAACGAAAATACAGTAATGGATAGACATTCAACCAAATCATTAGAGATTCAGAAGACTACTATCAATGCACTTGGAAATACAATAACATTTTTTTAGCAATTGTACTAAGAATTTATTTACCAGTTTTTTACTTTTTATATTATCCATCTTCTTCGTTTTTTCTTATTTCCTCACATTGTTTGAGAAAAGCACTATATAAGCCTCGACGGGAACGGGGATTGCTTGACTCGTATTATTACCTACAAGTCTCGCCGGCGCTCGGCCTTGTAACTCATACTCGTCCAGCAATCCCTTACTTCCCGACCTCTGCAATAATGTACTATGCATATTTTTTTTAATACATAGTTGCAAGTTCAGAAAGTACATAAAGTCAGCATAGTATACACGCGTACATGCAATGATTTATGAATTTAAAAAGGTGTGACCGATTGGTTTCGTCATTTTCTGACGAAACAGACTTTCCGCGATTATATTATTGTGTATACCGCCGCAAAAGTAATACGTACCGTTAGACAAGTTTGAGTCGTGAAGATAGGGTATAATAAAATTTTAAGAAAGAAACTAGAAACAAAAGTGATAATAAAAAAAAAATTTAATTTTACGCTGCACTGCTCCGTAGTGGCAGTAAAACTTAAAAATCGAATTAAAATGCCATAAAAACAATGAGGCGATATATCGGATGCGCATTACGAGCTCGAAGCAGTCGAAACAAAATAAAAATATTACAGCGAGAAAAAAATAAACTCGAAAACTTATTTTAATTTTTACAAATATTACCTTAAGATCTTCACTTGTTAAAGCCACCACGAAGATGATGAAAAAGAAGAACTAGATACGAAATAGAGACTTCCTTTATATGTACTTTAAACATTATAATAAATAACTTGATTAAAATTTCTTGCTTTCCCGAGACGCGGATATATAGTAAAACTGAAAGCCCTAGTTGAAAGATTCACAGTAATTTAGCAATGAACTGCAATTACTAACGCAACTAACTATTAACTATTAACGCAAGTGTGATTTTTACTCGGAAGTATTATACTACGTTTTTATTGAAAATATTGGCAGGCGAAAAGGAGTTTCTGTTAAAATATTCTCTGATCCATTTTCTCTGGTAAAAATATTCGCTCTTCTTTATTTCTTTTCTACTAATTCATTTCGTAATAAAGAACAATATGGGACATATAAAAATAAACAAAGTAACTTGAAAAGTATACCTCAGTACCTAACAATAAGAATGTTATTGAGTCTACTTTTGTATAGATAATTAATTTAAGCAATAAAGACTTGTTGTATATTGTAAGAAGAGGATAGAAAGAGTCAGATTGGCTTAGAGGATAATAAAAAAATACTTGCAGGTGAGAAAACAACACAGCGCAATACAATTAGAAAGACTTTAATAAAATACATAGAGGATGTTGATAATAGGATGCAATCATTCATCGAGTTGTTTGGAATCACAAACTAAATGGGATACATGAAAATTTTAAAGTAAAATAAGTAATACGTCTAACGTTGAAATTCCAAAAACTTCTTTTTTAGAAATTTAAATTTGAAACAAATCCTGTAACTATTTGAATATTAAACTCGTAAAATATTGATGATGAACATTCCCTGGCAGATATTGTAAACATATAGAGGTAAAATATTTTGGATATTGAAATAGAACAAACAGCGCCTAATAAACAAACATTGACAAAGTCCATCGCAAAGAATGATACTGTAGTTTTAATGTATTTGCTCTTCCAAAAAGAGACAATTACTTTAGTATAGTCATTATAATTGTAAGTCAATGAGTATAGTATTTTCTATAGTAGGTAATCTCTGTACTAAAAGATTCGACCTTAAAAGTCATTCATCCATGCCAGAGGCGGAATTTTTTTTTTCGAATTTGAATCGATCCACTAGTGAGGTACCCTCTTTCCAACAAAAAAAGAATTAGCAAAATTGGTTCAAAAATTGCCGGAGGTGTCGCGTAACAAACATTAAAAAAAAAAGTACAGTCGAATGGAGAACCTCCTCACTTTAGAGTATAGTATTCAGAAAAACGGCTCAATAGTTGCACAGCACGCTAAAGGAACGCAATTTTAAAGACATCTTTTTATACATACCTAAATATTGGACGACCGTCAGGTTGCTTGAACAAGAGCACCATGTAGACCCGGTCCTCGTTGGTAGCGCTCGTGGTATCGCAGGGCATGACGGCCGCCCGGCCGACGACAACAGTTACCTCGACGGTCGACACTGGAACGAAGTCGACTGCATCTAAATCGATATGCGCTTTTTACACCAATGATCATATACTATGATCAAAGATCGATAAAGGCAGATTATATTCACCTAAAGTCAAGTAATACACATGATTTAAGCCGGATTTATATTTGTCTGACGTGCCGTGTCGTGACGCGTCAGAACGGTATTGGTTTCATATATTTAATATCGTTAGATTTATATATAAATAATAACGCACACACTCAACATAGCCCCGCACTAGGAAAACCCTGTATCGCAGGTGCCATGGACACACACACAGACAACCACAAATTACCACCCAAACTCACGAGAGAAATAATTGTAGGCTATACAACTATTTCTCCCGGCCCGGAAATCGAAACTGGGACCTCTGCGTGTCACGCATGGTAACCGTTCGGTCACGGAGGCAGTTTTGTAATTAATGCGTCGCAATCTGACATGACGGCTTGTGTTGTAGCGGCGGAGCGGCCGCGTCACATCAGATCAGACAAGTGTTCACGCACCAGTGCCGTGTTGTAACGCGTCAGACATTGGAAACGTATGAACTTTCCGAAAGCCATGACGGTATTGTTCCAAAATATCGTCAGAAGATGTCAGAACACGACATGTAGATGTGAACGATTACCATCACGTCAGAGCGCAACGACGCGACACGTCAGACAAATATAAATCCGCCTTAGATAATACCATAGTGTAAGTGAAGTAGCCCGACTCCCGCCTGTTCGGCGTCTCTCGCAGTGTAAGATTGCAGCATCATTCTTTTAATTATACTACGTTTGTATAAAGTTACCCTACTGGTCTTATTAGCAATGGTCTGAATGAAAAATCATTTAATTTGACCAAAATTTAAATGGTCCCTTCTTATAACTGAGTCGATCAGCACTAAAAAAATTTTTGATCAATTTTATTCATAGGAAATGAAACTATTTTTCCGGATTTAAAGCGCGTGTATTTGTTTTTTTTTTGTAAACCTATATACAATATACGCGATTTAAATCCGGAAAAATACTTTCATTTCCAATTTTATTCATTTTTCAATCAATTTTTATCATAAAAAAATTACTGTGTTAAATTTTTTTTTTGGTTTTCACAAAAAAAGACTTAATGGTTTCTAAGACAGTTTTCTTGTATCTTTTATGGTTCCGGTTTTCCTTATACTGTCCCATTAAAAAAAACACTTTGTATATGTATTACTTCATTAAAATTTAGGTACTATATTTGCCTATACCGATCCCTTATTATGGTACATTTATTTATTAATGTAATTAGGCTCTTTAACCCTGCATGAGTCCACGTACAAAGGTTAGAGAGACACACGGTTTCCCAAACAAATTTTATACCGTAACGTCCCAAAGCACAGCTGTGTTCTAATCCAAAATGTATAATATAAATGTATAATAATTCATAAAAAATTTGAAAACCACAGTCGTTACGGACACAAGTGCGTCAATAGGACACGTCACGGGTTAATGGCCATATGAAGCTTTGGTGAAATAACTATTGAATAAGAAAAATTATATGAAATATAAATATGTAACGGATTGTATTGGTCGCATCTGTCTTCTGCAAGTTTTTGTTGCAGTTAGACTTAACGTATTGAAGCCGCGTATGTTAAACCATGTCGTATGCATCATTTGGCAAACTTTTTGGGCATACAGCTAAATAACTTACAAATTTTATTTTTATTTTATTTTACTAAACGAACACAGTCGACACCCAAAATAGATTAACACATTAATTTGCTTAAAACTCGATTTGAACCAGAATACCAACCGGGAGGGTGTACGAATGGCGTGTTTAGAAAAGTAACTGTCAATTAATTATTAATTGGAAAATTTGTGTTGATACAAATATATAGAAGAAAGTACAAAAAAGAAAGAAATAAAATCGATAAAATTTCTTGTTAAAATAAAGTTTTTCTTATTAGTAACATCAACATGTACAAAACTTCAAACGTGAGACCTATAATATATGTAGGTATATAAAAAAGGATATATTTAAGTTAAATAGCAAAATATTGTGTTTTGCCTTACAACAACTTACATGTAAGCTATCGATTGGTTCAGCGGGTTAGACATGAAATCGTAAGAGACAGAGCTACTTTTGCATTTACAATGTTAGTTTGGATCATTAGATGTATCTATTTATTGATAATTCTTGAACAGAATATAACGATAATTCTGAATTCATAAATAACCTATACACATCAATATATTGTCTAATATCAACGCGAGCTCTACCGAAAAAAGTAAATATGCTTCTTTTACAAAATTAACACTTTCATTGAACAGATGGTCTCGTTTTTAAGAAATATACATTAGACCGCATTTACACTGGGGCTTTATCGAATGCTCCACAGTCATTTGGGCCTGCCACGGGAAGTCGTTCTTTTTTACGACAAATAAAAATGGGCTTCAACCAGGCATACATACCAGTGTTGAGTACTCGGGCCAGTATATACGAGGGCGGAATGAGATGCTTTATGACCTAGACCCCATCACTTAAGTATTGGACTATACATTTTTGAAAGTAAGTGGAAGGTGCTTTTATTCGACACGAATTTCATCGCGCCCACCCCGCGCGGCGGAAGAGCGGAGTCCGCGTTGCCGCCGCCCAGCGACCGCGTGCGTCTAACTGTCATGGCAAAATACGCTCTATTCATTTAACTTTTACGTTTTAACTTAACCGTGCACGCGATGCGCTCCTCCTACCGCAAAATGGCGGCTATTTGATTTCGCAAATTAGAAAAGCATTCAGTTTAAATACAAGTTTTTATAAATAAAAATTATTATTCTGCATTGCTAAATAAATACCCTGCGTACTACCAACAAACACATCTCAAATAAAATGCAGTAATACACCGCAAATCCGGCACTTTAAAAGCACTAATGAAATTTTTGGTGTACTTGGATAAATATGATAATATTTCGTTTGAGTGGTTAGAACCACGTTTACCATGAAATTACTCCTTAAAGTATAGTTTATAAACATTTATATTCAGGGTAAACTTAAAAAACGCTACTTACGGTATGTTTTCAATAAATAAACACCGAAATCACCAGCCCAAACAATAACACACACGATTATCGTGACGTATTTTTGAAGTTGTTTATTTTTTTTAAATAACAGACCCAGGCATTAAAAACTTTATGGTTTGCTAGAGTAGTTACCGAAATAGCAATTGATATTAGTTTTTACCTGTTATAACTTCGATATCCGATAAATCGGTATAAAATCATCACCGGCACCTGTAGGTGTGGTATGCGTCTACGGCTGCATGTATCGCGGGAGCGGTTAAATGAGCGTCTCGGGTACGCGGGCGAGACTGGCTTGAATTTGGTCGACGCGGCCTCCGCGCGGTTGTATTATTCAGAGGAATTTAAATGTTCTTGCCTAGTAAACAGAATTCAGATTCGTCATTAGTGTACATGAAGGTGTGGAAACTGGGCGGTCGCCGCGCGGTAACTATCGCCTAGTGTAACTGGGTGCTATGTCGTCATCTAGGTCGAGTCATGAAAAATGTGCAGATGTTGTAAGCGCCACGCATGGCCATAAAAGCTACAGTACACTCAGATCTTTAAATCACAAAGATCTGAGGAGCAATGCCAATGCGCCTGTCACCCTGATACATAAATTGACAAGTCTCGAGTGCCTGTAATTTCACTCTCTTGCCCTTTAAAATCGAAAAGCAGTAATGCTTTATTTATTGATTGGCGACAGAAATAGGTAAGGTGCACTTCTTTCTGGACGAATTCTTTCACTGGGAGATCTATTGCTAATAAAGTAATAGTAGTTAATGTAGGATAACGCTTTCCTACCATACTGGAGTTCCAATTTCGGTTTCCAATGCAGAATCTGTACACAGAATTTCATAAAACATACCCAGTAACAACTTGCAAAATTGTTAAATACGCAAATACGTCCATTCCCAAGAATTTTTACTAATGGATTTGTTTGTCGGTCATCTTAAAGGTTACATGGAAGCGATTAGTATATAGCAACAACGCCGCATCACAAACCATTATTATATATTTGCATCACAAACCGATACCTAGGCCTCCAAAGAAATACCAACAAAATAAAAGACCTCCTAGTGAGCTAACTCAAGGTGAAACCCAAAGAACGAATTTAAGGCGAAGTACTTCAAAGCGACGCCTCACCTCCTACCACCTTTGTTGGAAGGTCAATGCCTCCTAGATTTTAGGAAATGAGGTGTGGGGGTCACCACTCGCGTTCCGCAATCCGCGCGCTCAAAATTAATATGAATATAATAAGAACATGCGGTAAAAATTTGACACAGATCCGATGTCGACAAGCGCCCGATGGTGACTGGCGGAGAAGCGGGCGGAACGGTTGGCGTGCCGTTAAACCGCTGGGCAATACACAAATTTTGGGATAAATGTGAATTTAATAACTATAGGACTTCTGTAGGGGTACAGTTGATGGGGACCTACGGTGGAGTCGGGCTCGGCCTGCGGCGCGAGATCGGATTCAATTCACGGGGTGTGCTCAAGCTCCTCGATGTCACAGCAGTTAGTACTACGGCCGCTTGATGAGGAGTTCGATTCCCGATTTGGCCCAGTTTAAGAAACGAACATTAAATTTCTAAGTTGGTTTTGGTCTGAGTATTCTGGGTTATCGTTGTTTCGATATTCATAGTACAGGAAATTCGGCAGCAGTTTGGCATTTTTTCCCCTGAATACTTCTCTTTGGCATGGCTTTCAAGAAAATGAGATCTAACAGTGAGACCATCGAGGCAACAACGCTATAATAAGTATCTCATTTCCACCACATCGAGAAGTATGCCTTACATTTTTACAATTGTGAGATCTTATACTCGTAATCTATTACGCCTCCGTGTATTATCATCGCCATCGCGATAGCGTGCAAAGTTTGTATGGCAGTCATATTGAAAAATAGCAAAAAATTAACTTCGACCGCTAATTATTATTAAACACTACTAGAGACCTCAACATGTCCAATTTTCAGTTGAATTAGAGCTAATTTTTATAAACGCTTGTTTGGCGGCCATATTCAAAAATGGCGAAAAACCAATTTTCATCACAAATTATAGAAATACAAATAGAAATAGAAAACATTTATTGTAACGCCACATTATAAAAAACAAACACAAAAACAAAGACTAATATAGCTAGAACAGAAATAACACAAAAAACAGCGTAAAAAACATTTGAACAACAAGTTACATAATACTATACTGACATGTGTGCGGCTGTGGCGTGTACACAAGCCTAGGTTGTGACGCTGGTTTTCAATAGTCCCTAGCCGAGTGAGTGAGAGTGACGAACGTATGCGTCCCGAAACAGAAAATAAAATAAAATAAACAACGTAAATACTTATATCATGAGTGTTTATAGTGTTATTGCAGTGTGTACTCTTATATCGAATAAATACTTACATCATCTTTGCAATATATACATACAGGTATAAGTGTGTGTAGTGTGAAAACAAATTAATAAAATATTTAATACATATTTAAAGTACATTACTTCAAATATATTAAACAAGAT